CTAAACCCTAAACCCTAAACCCTAAACCCTAAACCCCAAACCCTAAACCCTAAACCCTAAACCCTAAACCCTAAACCCTAAACCCTAAACCCTAAATCCTAAACCCTAAACCCTAAACCCTAAACCCTAAGCCCTAAGCCCTAAGCCCTAAGCCCTAAATCCTAATCCCGTAGGTAAACCGTAAGTCCTAAACTTTTAACCGTAAAAAAGCCCTAACAGTAAAGCCGTCCTGTCTAGAGTAGGCGCAAGTATATATTATCTCAGCTGATGGAAGGTGCTCGTAGCGTGTGGTCTCTGACTTCGTAAACAGGAGTTCTCAGAAGGCGCAATACAGCTGTTTACCAACTCCTTAACAACGAGTGTGATGCGGTCTCCTCCTGGCCCGTTACGCGTGAACACTACGTACTTTATGACTACTTTTTTTATGACTACTTTTGTTCTGAAGGATAGGTGATTCTTTCAATGATTGTCTCGGCACTGTCCTTGATCGCTACACCATCTCTTGTACGTAGAACTACGCTGCACACCCTGCGAATGCAAGAGGCCTGCACAACTTCGCAGCGAGCAATTAATTCAGAAGTCTTTAATTTGGCCACGGCTTCGCAGAAATTGCTTTTTTCGACAATTTCTGAGAAACTTTTCCCCAACGAATAGTTTTAGTGTATTGTCCACATTCTTGTCCAAATACTTCATTCATGCCGCTTTTACCGTAATTTACTTGTTTCGTGAAGCAGCCAAATTGGCGCTTCTCGGCTGAGCGGCCATTTTTGTGCTGCGCTTCTGTGCAGAAGCAGGACACCTGTTAACGTTGTAGTGACTAACAGTTGCTGAAAAGCAGCGAACCGAAGTCCTACTCAGTGCAAAGCTTCGACCTAGCAGGGCTATACTTGCATTCTAGAGCTGAGTTAATCTCCAGCCACAGTTCAACAGAGTACGGGCGAGCTCCTGAAGATTGTTCGGCCAACGTGTGCCCGCATGTCGCAATAGAAGGGTCCCGTGTTGGCTCGTGGCCCTTCACGAGTCTGGTCATGAATGTGTTGTCACAATGCATACGGGAACATGCAAGCTAAAGAACCTTTGGAAGCTAGGCTGTGCTCATATTTGTTGGACATTCCCGCGTGTAATATGAGCACAGCCAAACAAGGCTATGCCAGCGAAATCGGGTGAAGCTTGTATCACACGAGGGGGTCTTCCGTTCGGCATATCAACACATGCATGCGACTGTCCCGTCCATAGTGTTGAGGTGCTGTGCGCTATTGTGTCGAACGGCATCACAACTTTGAGAGCGCATTGATTTCATTCACATGTACGCTTCACCGGAAAAGTCATACTTACTGTGCCGGTGATTTGTTCAGGCCCAGCGTATTGTGCCATGCCTCGATGTCTCACAGCCTTTTACTTGCTGGGAACTTCCAGCATTAATCCTTCAGCAGTTCTGGACATGAAAAGGAGTGTTACTGCATTAGCATGAGAACCGCAAGCAACAGTTAATGAGCTTCACAACTTCTTGAAAAACAGCGAATAGTGCAGACAGCATGCTTCAGTTTTTCGTATGTGCGCAGCCTGATGGAGTGGCATTATGGGCGCTGCACTCCAGTATAGTGGCATATGTCGTGCGACATGGCCACCCTCTCTTCATCACGCATGGCCGCACAAGCTAACTTTTCCGTCGGGCTGGTCATGTAACCAGTTGTTGCCTGCCAGCTAGTGCTACCCCTCGTCTCAACCCAGCACTCCACACAGCCGGTTCACGAGTAGGCAAACTCCTTGCTTTTCAGACAAACGCTGACTAATGTCCTATCAACATAAGAGAGCTCCTAAATTAATTACCTCTGTTAACTCCAGCTTCAAGCGTTGTTGGGTTGAGCACATTTCTATCTGGTCGCGAGGGTGTCACTGGAGAATCGCTCACTGGGGGTCTCACAACAGCTGCAGGCTATTGGCATTATGCCAGTACATAAATGACTATAATATACTTTGCTTTATTTATTTCTTGTTAAGTGCTGGCGTCGCAAATCTGTCAACAGCATGTGAATGTTGTCTTGGCCGTTCAATGCAGCAGCATGGAACGCACAAGACATGTTCAGCTGCAGCGGCTGTAAGAGTAACGTGGAGTAACTTTCAGGACAACATTCGAATTCAGAAATGTTTCACAACTGAGACATGCTCGTTTAGCTTTTAAGTAGCCGTTGGCCTTCAGAAGGAGGCGTTTGTAGTAGGGATGTGCTCGGGGCTGGGCCTAGTAAGATTCACCTAAAGCGTGACCCAGATGAATAAAATCCAGTGTAACAGAGTGTTGCTCGCATTTTTGTGACAGTTACTGCGAATGATAAGAGAAATTTTTTCCTTCTGTAGCCACACTGCTCGGCTTCAGGTGGCTGTGGTGGGTGGTTGAGGAATGGTTCCCACACGAGTTGACACTTTGGCTAAATGGATGAGTACTCTGTACGTGGACCATTGGCCTAATTTCCTTTTGCTGCATGTGGTGCAGCCGATATAGCCCTTAGCTTTCGATCAAATGGAGGCCCCTCCAACGTGGTTCGACTTTTCCACTGAATGCATCTATACTGCACAGAAGCACAAAAAGAATAAATCATGGAAAGACGGCCTCTGTATATGCTGCTTTGTGAGGGGCTGGGTCATCTTGAAACTTTATCCAGAAGGTGCAAGTAGCTCCAGCGAGCCGCTAGAGGAGTGGCGAATTCCTCCAGATTGCCCCGCATCTGTAGCACAGTGAGTTCTAGAAAACAGACTGCCTCTTTGCAACATTAATAATACGTATGCCACACATTTATCGTTTCTGTCGGACTTACAGGGCTCTTGTCTTCGGGCATGGGAGTTGAGTTCCGAGTGTTTCCCTGTACAAATCGCCGTTTATGTCTATGCGGTGTAAATGTTTTAAAGGATGATACGAAGTTGCTTTTTTCTTTGCTCTGTATCAACACAATATTCACTTAGCTGAACGTGTGGACGACGAGAAAGCACTATGACGGACACATAGGCTGGCAAATGCGTTGGTTCTTTCGGCTTCCAATAATCACTGATATGTGCTTGAGCCAATGCGGACGCAGGAAAGAAATCGAGTTCCAGAACCACCTGGTGCAGCTTCTGGGGCGCCCGCGACCCCTGGGATCGAAGCAGCCCTTTTGTGAAGCTGAAGAGGTTCAGAAGAGCTCTTTACCATCTCACAGCGTTGCCACTGGAACGGATTTGCAAGGGCTTGCTCCACGGGGAGGAACCAAAGCCTTGCCAAAGCGCCGCCTGCCTGGTGGATTATTTCGGCCGAGTGGCGTTTCTCCCACGGGCCCTGTGAAGCAGTCGGTCACTCAAATTCGAGATACAGGTCCTGAATACCCGCCTACTAGAGAGCTTTCATTGAATCATTTCAACAAAGAAAATCGTGAAAACCGCATTGCAACGGGCTCATATGCCACATTTGTACCGCCCTTCCGTCAAACACCCGAAGAACTGCCAAGCGTTCCACAACCGCTTTCTTTTGCAAAGGCTTGGATAGTGAATGGAGCAAGAGCCACTCTAAGCAGCACATGCTTTTGCTGTGGTCAATCCCAGTGTCATTGCTTGCTTTCTAGGCCAAGTGGCTCTGGCTGCAGTGCCGCAAGCTTTTTTCGTCAAATGTTTGATGGTGCCAGGGGTCCTGACCTACTGCTACCTGAGCAGGCAGTGGATTGATCCCAGGTGCCACGAACTGTTTTCAGATACAGATAGGTTTGCAAAAACAAAGGGAGTCCTCAGCGATTTTGATATTTAGACGAGCTGTCGTAAGAGGTTAAACTTCATTGCACAGCAGCTCGTGCGCCACTTGGTCATTAACTGCTGCTTCATAGCTTCAGTCCAGCACACTTTTGCGATCAGCGTAGAGGCTGACACAAAGATAAAACCTTAATTAAAGCTAGTCCCAGGCAGTCTTTGCCCCAGGACCGCAGGTCAGGTGCAGTGACAAAGGCTTTTAGGCGCGTAGGAGGAGTCCCACCGGTAGTGGCGCTACTCTTTACCCGGACCGAAAGTCGGCATGGCTTTCTTGTCCCTGAGTGCACTGTTACCCACCAGGGTGCGTCGTCTAGCGGCCGTAGCACAGAGCTTTTCCCTAGCTAGCGGTGTCGGTGATTAATAGAGGCTGCGTGCGCGCGGTAGGATTTCCGACAGGCCGTAGGACCATCCAAAGATGGATAACTTCGTGTCTCACTAAGTGGTAGCAGCCTCAGCGCCGAGCGAGCAGCACCAGCTGCAGACCCAGAGACGCCAGCCTCAACTGCTTACGTTGCAGCATCGTTTGATACCAGAAAAGTTAAAGATCGTTATAACATCTGAGACACATTTTCCATTTGTGCTGTCCGAACAATTGCTCCAGGTGCGATTTGACGGACTTTGCTCCAGCCGCATTCTGCTCAACAACCAAAGAGACACGTCTCCATGTAGTGCAAGACACTTCCAAGCATTTTCCCCCGGTTCGCAGCAGTTCTGCGTTTAGGTCACAATGCGCGGCGGATGGTTACGACTAGGCTGTCCTCTCGTTGCACTTCCCAACTTGCATGTGTCTGTGCCATTTCCCAGCGGGTATCTTCACTAGAGGGATGTCTTTGCGCTGATCAGCTAGTTATGCAGT